CGCACGGTTTCTTCGCCCATTCCGCCGGCCCCGATGACGAGCACCCGCTTGTCGTGGAAGGTGTCGAAAATATTGCGAGCGAAGTCGCCCACGGCCACGCTGGGAATGCTCACGCGGCGTTCGTTGATTGAGGTTTCATTGGCCACCCGGCGGGCCACCTTGATGGCCGACTGGAATACGTTGTGCGTGAGCGGGCCGGTCGAATCCAACTGCGAGGCGAGCTGATAGGCCTGCTTTACTTGCGAAAGGATCTGCGGTTCGCCGACGACCATGCTGTCGAGACTGGCCGCCACGGTGAACAGGTGCCGCACGGTGTCTTCGCCGGTGCGTTCGAGCAGGTCGTCGAAGAAGTCGGCCACCGGCAGCCCGTGGAACGCACCCAGGAACTCGGCCACGTCGTGATGCGAAGGCCGGGCGTGTTCGTCTTCCGAGGCGGTATATAACTCCACTCGATTGCAGGTGGAGAGCAACACAACTTCCGACTCGGGGAATCGCCCGCGGAAGAGCTTTAAGGCTTCTTCGGCCTGTTGGGGGCTGAACGCGAGGCGCTCGCGCACCTGCACCGGGGAGTGATGATGCCCGCACCCGACCATTTGCAGCTTCATCGCCACCCTCCGCCGCCGGTGAGGGCTGTGAGTTGCGACGAATCGGCCGAGTGGTGTTGCTCGACTTGGCCTTGGGTTTGGGGGTCGATGTTCTGCGGTGGTTCTTCATCGGAGGCTCCGGTGTGTTCGGTGAAGAACAGACCCACTCCGAGCGAGAAGACCAGAAACGCGCAACTGGTCAACGTGAGATAGGCCACTTTGCGACCTTGTCGGGCCGGCTTGTAAACCGTGGCGAACACGAAGGCGATGGCCAGCCATAGCAGCGTGATGCCGGAACTCCAGATCACCGGGTCGGACCAGGGCACGCGGGTCATCTCACCGCCGTGGTTCACCACGTTCAGGATTGAGCCTGATAGCAACCCCACGGCCAGCATCAACATCGAGAGGATGATCGCCCGAGCGTTGGTACGTTGCAACCATTCGAGGCTCGGGAGTTGCAGTCCCCGCGAGGGCGGTTTCTTGTGCTTCATCCGGTTGGCTTGCACGAGGTACATCACCCCGGAAAGAAACCCGACGAGCACCGCGACGGTGCCGGCGAGCAGGAACGCTCCGTGGAATGTGCCCCACCACAGCGAGGCGCGATCGACCGGGAAGGGCTTTCGCTCGGCCAGAAACGTGGCTACGGCGATCAGCAGCAGTACGACAGGAAGAACGAAAACATCGATCGCAAATGTGGGATGTTCCCAGATGACATACAGATAGAACGCCACGAGTACCCAGGCGGCCACCAAGTACCAATCGAAGCTGCTCGACAGGGGTGTGGTTCCGCCGTGCAATGTGCGGCTGACCAGGTAGAGCGTGTGAGCGACGAGCCCGGCGATGATGAAGCCAAGTTCGATGCGGCCCCGCTGCCGACTGCGCAGCCAGGGGCGGGCGATTGCCAGCAGAAGCGCTACGGTGTAGCTGGCCGCGAAACAAAAGATTTCGATCCGCTCGATCAACTGTCCCATGAACGCTTAGGCTCCTGGGCCGATCTCGTCGTCCAAGTCGAATTCTTTGAGCTTCTTGTGCAGTGTATTACGATTGATGCCGAGTTTGGCGGCCGCCTTGATGCGTACATTGTCGCAGTCGGCCATCACCTGGGCGATCAATTCGCGTTCGACCCGATTGACGATTTTGGCGTAAAGGTTGTCTTCTTGAGGACCCGAGGTGGCGCGTCCCTGGGCCACGAGTTCGTAGGCCAGCGTCTCGACGTCGGCCGCTCCGTTGCGGGGACGACGTGGGGCTGCCCCGCCGACGACCGCCTCGGGTAGTAGGTCGCAGGTCAGTTCGTCGCCGGGGGCCATCACCACCGCGCGGGCGATATAGTTTTGTAGCTCGCGGACGTTGCCCGGCCAGTGGTAGTCTTGCAGAGCCTCGATCGCGCGATGCTCGATGTGCAGCACGTAGCGATCGTTTTCTTCGTTGTAGACATTGAGGAAGTGGGTGACCAGATCCAGGATGTCGTCGCGACGAGCCCGTAGCGGCGGCAGGATGATGGGCACCACGTTCAAGCGGTAGTACAGGTCTTCGCGGAACTTTTCGGCTTCGACTTGCTCCATCAGGTCGCGGTTGCTGGCGGCCACCACGCGGGTATCGACGTCGATGGTCTTCGTGTCGCCCACCCGTTCGAACTCGCGTTCTTGCAGCACCCGCAGAAGTTTCACCTGCAGGTGCTCGGTCGTGCTGTTGATTTCGTCGAGAAAGATCGTGCCGCTGTGGGCGGCTTCGAAGCGGCCGGTGCGAGTGGTCAGGGCTCCGGTGAACGCGCCGGCCTCGTGCCCGAAGAGTTCGCTTTCCAACAGGCTTTCGCTGAGAGCCCCGCAGTTGACGCGAACGTAGGGGCCATTGCGGCGCAGGCTGAGGTCGTGCACCGCGCGGGCGATGAGTTCCTTGCCGGTGCCGGTTTCGCCTAACAGGAGGACGGAGGCGTTCGAAGGGGCCACCTGGCGCGTAATGCGATACACCTCCTGCATTCCCGGGCTCGATCCAATGATGCCGGGAATCTTACAGGCGTTCGAGTTAACGTTCAGGGATGGACCTTGGCGTGTCATTGTGCTTTTTGACAATGGTGTCCACACGGCCGCCGGGCCGCCGCTCTCTTCTACTTCCAGTGGTCAACGTAGGATCTGCGTGTTCTGCCCACTTAGGTTCCTCGGTTCTTTTGCAAGACAGCCTCTGTTGTCGCTGGGATCGGATCGGCCCGAGCTTCGATGACGTCGAGGATCGAAGCCAGCACACGTTGGGTTTCAGCGTCTTCGTGCCGACTGTTGTTGTAGCGATGGTATTGCAGCAGAAGCTCTTCGGTGGTTAGCAGCGTTCCGTGATCGAGCACGTTGTTGGTGAACGCCGCGGCCGCTTGTTGGCGAATGAGAATCGGCCGTGAAGTTTGGCTGGCCACCTCGACCAGCCGCTTCTGAGCCAGCGGAGTGCCAACCGTTTGCAAGATCGAAATCGCTGCCGGGGCCATCTCGCTGTCGTCCATGGCTTGCAGAATCACCTCGGAAATGCGGGCCATGTCTTGGGGGTTATCTTCGGCGCTTAGTCGCAGGAGGTGCCCGATGGCACCCAAAGCCTGGGCTTGTCGCAGGTCTTGGGTCACGGCTCTCGGGCCTGCCAGGCTGAGCACCCGTTCGACCTGTTCGCCGACTGTTTCGGCGTCGTCCACATCGAGGACTGTGCCTACCAAGGGGTACCGCTCGACCAGGCGTTGGGCTTTGGGGGCGAGCAGGGCTGAAGTTACCACACCGATGGGCATCTTCGCGGTGCGGGAGTCGGCCCGAAGTTGTGAGATGGCATCGTTGGCGGTCATGCGGACGAAACCAACATCGATCAACGCCAGTTGGCAATCGCCATCGGCCAATGCGCGACGGACCAGGTTGCCGGGATGACCGTAGGTTTCGGTGACGAACCCCAGCCGGGACAGGTAGCTGCTCAAGCGGTAACCGTGGGCGGGATTCGTGGTGGCCACGACGGCTCGGGGGCGACCGTAGCCGGTGACGAAGTAAGCCAACGCATCGATGACTTCACTACGGCCGGGATAGGTTCGCTGCGGGTCGAGCTTCATCACCGCTTCGGCGGCGGCGTAACGAAGACGCCTGTCGCCGGCCCCATCGGCGGCCATCACCAAGGGAGTCTGCTGCGGGGCATCGCGGTAGATGAGTTCCTGCGTTCCGTGTTCGCCCAACAGTTCGGCCGCCAGAGTTGCACCGGCGAGGTTCGGTCCGTGGATTGAATGCCGGAGAAGATCGTCGAACGCGTCGATGCCGAAGCGGTCGAGGAGCGCTTCGCCTTGAGCGCCATCCATCGCGGCACCCAACGCGGCCACCTCGAGGGCGGCCCCCAGATAAGCTCGCTGCAGGGCAGGGTCGTCGGGGGCGATTTCGGTTGCAATGTTGGCGACTTGCGAGAGTTCAATCGCCGCGGCCACGTGGGAATCGAACTGCTGCATCAAGGGTGCGGCGGCCGCTGCGTCCCAGCGCCAGACATCTCGGGGCACTTCCACTATGGCGGGTGCCAGAGCCGCTTCACGCTGGAAGGCTTCGATCCGCTTCTCGAGCAGAAGCAGGGCCTCGTCGATGTTGGGCACATCGCCTGCGATTCGTGCGATGGCTTTCGCAGCGACGTCGCGTTCCTTGGGTGTCGACTCAGGACCGTAGAGGGAACCCAACATGTAGGCGATCGAGTCGAACTGACCCAGTGATCCGAGGGCTCGCAGGGCTGCAATACGCAGTGACGCATCGCCTGATGCGAGCGTGGCTGTGAGTGGACCGACGGCATCGGGACCCAGGGCGACGAGGGCCGTGAGAACAATCGAGTGATCGTCCGCGGTTTGTGGATCGCTCAACACTGCGAGCAACGGTCCGACGGCGGCCGGTCCGGCGCGACGCAGTTCGATAATCGCGGCCCGCTGCTGACCGCGCGAGTCGGAACGGAGTTGCTTGATTAAGTTGGCCACTCGCGCGGGGTCGCTGGCCATGCGACCGGCGGCGGCCAGGATGTCGAGCGAAAGTTGTCGGCCCTCGGGTTGGAGATCGGTTGCGGTGGAGAGCTTCAAGATGGCCGCACTGCCGAAGCGGCGTTCGAGTGCGGCAAGCTGCTGGTCGTCTAACTGCGAGGCCAACAACTGTTCGACGAACGGACGCGCCGCGAAGGCATGCTTCGCGTCGATCATCACCAGCACGGCGTTCAGGCGGTCGCCGGGAGTTTCGTACGATTCACCCAGTTGCCGTTCGACCAAAGGGCTGGTCACCACAGGTTGCTCGGGGGCCGGGGCTGCCGGTTCGTCTTGCGCGTGAAGCGAACCTGCTGCGATCGCGTACGCGGCAAACATTAGCGCTGCCGCCAGCCGCACGCCTTCTGCAAAGAAACGGGGCATATTCGTCGAGCCTTGTAATCGTTTCGCGGGTCTGAAAATTACGATATTTCCAACCGCGTCTTCCATGCCGCGAGCTGCGTGGCCACCTGTTTGGGCGACGTGGATCCATAGCTAACGAACGCCGAAACCGCCTGTTTCGCACCAAGAACTTCGTACACACTTTTGTCCAACCGCTGGTCGACGGACTGAAAGTCTTCGACCGACAGATCGGCCAGGGTGACTCCACGATCGAGAGCCAAGCGTACGAGTTGACCGACCAGGCCGTGTGCCGAGCGTTGAGGCACACCCTGCGAGATCATGTGTTCCATCATCGTCGTGGCGTCGAGGAAGCCTTGTTCGAGGCGAGCTTCGATCGACTCCCGCTTGAGTTTCGTGTCGGCCACGATGGGGGCCGCCAGTTCGACGCAGGACAACACCGTGTCGAAAGCGTCGAACACCCGGGGTTTGTCTTCTTGCAGGTCGCGGTTGTAAGCCAGCGGGAGGCCCTTCACGAGCACGAGCAAAGCTTGCAAGTCGCCGACCACGCGGGCCGTTTTGCCGCGGATGAGTTCCAACACGTCGGGGTTGATCTTCTGCGGCATGATCGACGAGCCGGTGCAGAAGGCCTCGGGCAGTTTGATGAAGTCGAACTCGACGGTGGACCAGATGATCCAGTCTTCGGCCCAACCGCTGAGGTGTTCGGCGATCATCACCAGGTCGAAGACGAACTCGACGGCAAAGTCGCGATCGCTGGAAACGTCGAGACTGTTGGCCGCCACGCCCTCGAAACCGAGCAGGCGGGCCGTTTCATCGCGGTCGATGGGGAGTGACGTACCCGCACATGCGGCCGCCCCCAGGGGTGAGACATTCGCCCGACGTCGGCAATCGGCCAGCCGGCCACGGTCGCGATCGAGCTTTTCGCAATAGGCGAGCCAGTAGTGTGCGGCCAGCACCGGTTGGGCCCGACGGAGGTGGGTGTACCCGGGCAGAATGACGTCGGCATCGGCTTCCGCGCGCGAGACGAAGGCTTTTTGCAGGATTTCCAGTGCTGCATCGAGCTGATCGATCGAGTCGCGGACCCACAGCCGGAGATCGGTCGAAACCTGATCGTTGCGGCTTCGGGCCGTGTGGAGCTTGCGTCCCACGTCGCCCAATCGCTCGACCAGGGCATGCTCGATGTGCATGTGGATGTCTTCGAGTGCGTGGGAGTACTCGAACTGGTCCTGCTCAATTTCCTGGCGAATGGAATTCAGGGTTTGCTCAATCTGTTGGCACTCTGCGGTGCTGAGCAAGCCGGCCTTCACCAGCATCTTGGCGTGCGCAAGCGAGCCCTCGATGTCGTGCTTATACAAGCGACGATCAAAACTTACGCTTTCGGTGAAGCGTTCAACTCGGCGATCGGTGGCTTCGTGAAAGACACCGCCCCAGGGTTTCTCACTCACGGTATTCGGCCACAGGGTAGGGGGTGAATTATTTGTTCCAAAGCATTCACTCTAAATGGCTTACGGTGGAGTGTCAACGAGTAGGTACGAGTCCCCAAAGAGGGTGCGGCAATGCAAAGCGCGATTGTGCGGCTTCGAGGAGAACCAGCGGGCCGTCAATCGCCATGCGTACGCTTCGCGCAGGGCTCTGCATGGTGTGTGGTCATGGCGAATGTAGGGATTTTTGGTCCAAGCTGGCACAGGTCTCTATGAAGTAGTGCTGAATTCCTGTGCGTGTAGATTTCTGAGTGAAGAGGGAATTGATCTTAACGCTAAGAGTGATACTGCGGGCTAGGGCGGTGGGGGTTTGAAACGTCGTAAGGCAATGTCGGGTAGTATCTTACGAGACTGTCCCCAGGCACACCCACCTCCCGAAATTTCAATTTCTTGAATATGGCCAATTTGCCCGATAAGATTGATTGAAACTGACCCGTGAGCTGAACTGTCGTCGTATGGCGTGCGTTCCCGGAAGGGATAGGCTGGCGGGTTTTTTTATGCGCCTTTCTGGCGACTATGGCCAAACGGTAACGCTAATCTCGTGGCTTCGGATCTTATCTCGATAGCTCTGAGGATTTGGGCGGTCATCTCGATAGCTTCTTGCTACTGAACCGCAGACCATATCGGCCAGTTGCAACAAGTTGTGCGAGTGGGAAGTCATCGACTTCACTTTCTGGATGACGGTGTGGTCGTTCTTTGAATTGATGTCGCGCCGAAGATCCTTGCTCAATAGCTTGCGGAAGGCACTGCTACCGGTCTTGTCGATGACAACGGTGGCGTTCTCGAGCCGATCGGCCACTAATGAGAACAAAGAATAGACCGGGTACTGCAAAAGAGGTTTGTTCAGTTTTCCACCTTGTGCTTGAAGTTTCCGTTTGTCGAACACGACCGATAAGTATTGAAATGAAAACGAGTTGATCGTATCGAGGAACCGATGGCGGTGGCTATCTTGGCAACTCGTGAAGTGAAATTCCGTCTTGATCCCTAGCTCTTCCCGCAGTGATTCAATGGCGGAATAACATCGCGATGCTTCCTCACGGTCAAAGAAGATCGACGCGGTGACGACAAACAGGGGAGAGGAGTTCTTGTCTAGCTTCATTCCCATGTCACCAGACTCATCGACGTAAGCCAGCACTCGGCAGCCCCCTTCTGTTTCGAGCGGCGTTCGTATACTTGGAAATTCTTTTGAGAGCTCAGACTGCACATCAAGTTCAGAGCTCGGCACGAGCTTACTCTCATGGCGAGCGGTGCACGAACGAGACCATCATCCAATTTTCCCCGGTCGGGGGGTGTAGGGTGCACAGGTTTAGTCCCACTGCTTGAAGACACCACACATCGTGTGGTATCGTCGAGCGATTTTAGCCTGCTGGCACAATTGACTCAGGGCAAGGGGTCGCTGTGCGCCGTGAGCGGGCCGTTCTTGGGTTTGTTTTCGCCGTAAGCTAGAGGTCTGAACGCGTGCCGCGTCGCGACGATATCAAGAAGATACTGTTAATTGGTTCCGGGCCGATCGTGATTGGCCAGGCCTGCGAGTTCGATTACTCGGGTACCCAGGCCTGCAAAGCATTGCGAGAAGAGAACTACGAAGTCGTGCTGGTTAATAGTAACCCAGCCACGATCATGACCGATCCTGACACTGCGGACCGGACTTACATCGAACCGCTCACCTGGCAAACAGTGGCCAAGGTGATCGAGAAAGAGCGGCCCGACGCCGTGTTGCCAACGCTCGGTGGCCAAACCGGGTTGAACCTGGCGATGGACCTCGCTCGCGAGGGCGTGCTCGAGAAGTACGACGTCGAAATGATCGGCGCCATTCCTTCGGTGATCGATAAGGCCGAAGACCGCAAACAGTTCCAAGAGGCCATGGCCCGCATTGGGTTGGAAGTGTGCCGCGGGCGAACCGTTTCGAACATGACCGAAGCCAACGCGGTCTTGAAAGAAATCGGACTGCCTTGCGTGGTGCGGCCCAGCTTCACGCTCGGCGGTAGCGGTTCATCGATCGCCTTCAACATGGATGAGTTCGAGCAACTGGTTTCCCGGGGGCTCGAAGCTTCGCCCATTACCCAGGTGTTGGTCGAAGAATCGATCATCGGCTGGAAAGAATATGAAATGGAGGTGATGCGCGACAAAGAAGATAACGTCGTCATCATCTGCTCGATTGAGAACTTCGACCCGATGGGGGTTCACACGGGCGATTCGATCACGGTGGCCCCGGCGCAAACGCTCACCGACAAAGAATACCAGCGGATGCGCGATGCCTCGCTGGCTGTGATTCGCGAGATTGGCGTCGAAACCGGCGGATCGAACATTCAATTCGCCATCGATCCACGCACCGGGCGGATGATTGTCATTGAGATGAACCCCCGCGTGAGTCGCTCGAGTGCGTTGGCCTCGAAAGCCACCGGGTTCCCCATCGCCAAGATCGCGGCGAAGTTGGCCGTGGGCTACATGCTGCACGAGCTGCCCAACGATATCACCCGCAAGACGAAGGCTTGCTTCGAGCCGACGATCGATTACGTGGTGACGAAGATCCCGCGGTTCGCCTTCGAGAAATTCCCCGAGGCCGATTCGACGCTGACTACGCAGATGAAGAGCGTCGGCGAAACGATGGCCATCGGTCGCACGTTCAAAGAGTCGTTCCAAAAGGCCATTCGCGGTTTGGAAGTCGGCAGCTTTGGTTTCGGGTGCGACGCCAAAGACCGCTGGGGTACCCCGCAACAGCCCGACATCGAAGAGATTCGCGCGAACCTCGCCACGCCCAACGCCGAGCGGCTGTGGTTCCTGCGCTATGCGATCAAAGAGGGGATGAGCCTCGAAGAGATCTACGAGCTGACGGGCATCGATCCCTGGTTCCTCGACAATTTGTTGGAGTTGGTCGAACTGGAAGAGGAGCTTCGCAGCATCGAGAGCTTCGAGCAGGTCGACACCGAATTGCTGCGCCGAGCCAAACGCAGCGGGTTTGCCGATCGGCAGTTGGCCACCATTTTCGACACGACCGAAATCACCGTTCGCAACGAACGCAAGCGCCGCGGCATCGTGGCCACGTTCAAGGCGGTGGATACTTGTGCGGCCGAGTTCGAAGCTTACACGCCGTACTACTATTCGACCTACGAGGAAGAAGACGAAACACCGGCGCGCGAGCCCAACCAGCGGCGGATCATGATCCTCGGCGGTGGGCCGAACCGTATCGGGCAGGGGATCGAGTTCGACTATTGCTGCTGCCACGCCAGCTTCGCCATGCGGGACATGGGCGTGCAATCGATCATGGTCAACTCAAACCCTGAAACCGTGAGCACCGACTACGACACCAGCGATGTATTGTTCTTCGAACCGCTGACGCACGAAGACGTGCTGAACATTTGCGATCGCATGAGTCCCGACGGGGTGATCGTGCAGTTCGGTGGACAGACGCCGTTGAACCTCGCCCGGGCGCTGGCGACCAGCGGGGTGCCGATCATCGGGACGAGCGTCGATACGATCGAAGACGCCGAAGACCGCGAGAAGTTCCAGCAGTTGCTAAGCCGCTTGGGGTTGAAGCAGCCTGCCAACGGCATCGCTCGCACGATGGCCGAAGCACGGAAGGAAGTCGAGAAGATTGGCTATCCCGTGCTGGTGCGTCCGAGTTTTGTTCTCGGCGGTCGGGCGATGGAGATTTGCTACGACCTGTCGCAGTTCGAACGGTTTGTGGCCGAAGCCTTCGTCGTGGCCCAAGGTCAGCCGGTGTTGGTCGATCGCTTCTTGGAAGATGCGACCGAAGTGGATGTCGACGCCATCTGCGACGGCGAGCGAACCATTGTGGCCGGCGTGATGGAACACATCGAAGAGGCCGGCGTCCACTCCGGCGACTCGGCCTGTGCCATTCCGCCGTACAGCTTGCCGGGTCCGGTCATCGACGAGATTAAGCGCAGCACGCAGGCCCTGGCCGAACGGATGAAAGTTCGTGGGCTGATGAATATTCAATATGCCGTGAAGCGCGAAGACGGCGAGTTCAACGTGTACGTGCTGGAAGTGAACCCTCGGGCCAGCCGCACGGTGCCGTTTGTGTCGAAGGCCACCGGAGTGCAGTTGGCCAACGTTGCGGCCAAGGTGATGGCCGGCGTTTCGCTGGCAGAGCAAGGCGTAACAAGCGACCCGGTGCCGAGCCACGTTTCGATTAAAGAAAGCGTGTTCCCGTTCGCCAAGTTCCAGGGCGTGGATATCGTGCTGGGGCCGGAGATGAAAAGCACCGGCGAGGTGATGGGCGTGAGCGACCGGTTCTCGATCGCCTTCGCCAAAAGCCAGTTGGCCGCCGGCGTGGTGTTGCCCGAGTCGGGCAGCATCTTCCTCAGTGTGACCCTACGTGGCAAGCAACACGTGGTCGACTTGGGCCGGCGCCTGGTGGCGATGAACTACAAGTTGCTGGCCACCCCCGGCACCGCGGCCGCATTGCGCGAAGCGGGTGTGGAAGTTGAAGCGATCAAGAAGCTGCGGCAGGGGCACCCCAACTTGTTGGACTACATGATCGACGGTCGGGTGCAACTCATCATCAACACGCCCAGCGGAAAAGGTGCCCGAACCGACGAAGGAAAGATTCGCGCGGCGGGCGTTGCTTCGGGAGTGCCTTGCATCACGACCATGCCGGCGGCTGAAGCGGCCGTGACGGCGATGGAAGCCCTTCGCGAACAAGACACCACCGTGCAGGCCCTGCAAGATCGCTTCGCAGCGGCGACTTAGTCTTCTGCAGGGCGGTGTGCCTCGCCATGGGTGAGAAGTCCAAGCGTTGCCAGCTCAAAAGAACTTTCATCCCACACGGCACGGCCATGACCGATAACCTTTTCGTGCGTATCGTGATCGTGGCCATGGCTGGCGGACTGGGCGCGGTGTTGCGTTGGGGTGTGACGCGTTTCAGTCAGGAGTTCTTCACCGAGCACTGGCCACTCGGCACGCTGCTGGTGAACATGCTGGGCTGTTTCTGTTTCGGCCTGGCCTACGAAACGCTGCGGCATCACACCAGCGACGTCAGCTTGCTGCGGTTGGTCATCATGACCGGTTTCGCAGGCGGGCTGACCACGTTCAGCACATTCGCCTTCGACACCTTCGAACTCGCGCTGGCCGGTGGCGAACGAGTTTCGACCGCAGGGTTACTCAAGGCCACGGCCAACGTAAGCCTGCATCTAACCCTCGGCCTCACCGCACTGGTGGCCGGCATCACGCTTGGGCGATCTTCGTAAGGAAGGGGCCAATCGTTCGGCGGCAGTTATCCGATGTGGAAGCGCCAACGTGTGGGTTTGCCAATTTCTTGCGGGAATTGTTATCACGTCCTACGATCTGGTTGGAACAGAGCAGCGTGAGACATCTTTTTCACACGCGGCCAGCGGAAGAGGCATCCTCCCGTGACTCCTGCGGAACTGCTCGATTGCATCCCTGAGATTGCGCGCTACCATCGCATTCCCGTCGCCGATGAAGAGAATGCGTTGTTCCCTTGGCAGCAAGCCATGGGGCTGGTGCATCCTGGCGATGACGATGACATCATACTCAGCGAACTCATTTACAGCACCGACGATGGACAGCCAGCCCCGATCCCTCCAGGGAAAGAGTTCGATCGAATAAGTCGATTGCTTGAATCAAATCAAGCGGCGTTTGATTTGGCCGACGAGGGCGTAAGGCGGGGTCGGTTTCAGTTTCCTGAATTGACTGATTTCAAACGGGCGTTCGATGGGGTATTTGGCACTCCGTATGATCTCATGAGTCTCTCACAGATGCTGGTTATCAACGTCAAATTCAAGATGGCCGCGGGGAAGTGGGACGACGCCGTGGGTGAGCTGATCAATCAGCTTCGGATGGGTGAATTGTTATGTAATGGTGATGGCATCATTACGTCATACATGTTGGGAGTGGGGTATCGCAGAAAGGGAACGCTAGGGATACTTCGACTCCTTGAGGAGCATTCAGTATCCGGCACGCTGCATAGGCGTCTCTCACGGGCCGTTGAGAAAAGTCTAGAAACCGAAGACGGTCTCGCTCAGTCTGAACGGGTCGATTTGTGTTGTTACACTATTCCCCGATTTGCCACGGTCGATGAAAAGGCCGACCTGGAAACACTCGTCGATCAGATTCTCGACATGTACTACGACAGCCAGACCATGGCAGATCTCGACCCCGAGGACTGTGCCGACGCACAAATCAGCGACGAAACTCGCCAGCAGCGGCTTCAAACGCGCCGGCAGCAGATACTCGAAATCCTGGACGGTCACCCGTGCCCCTTCGATATGGCCGATACGATGCGAGTGACTGGAAGCTTGCTGGCTGAGCGGATTGAGTTTGCCGAACTCTATCATCGTGAAAGGGAGTTTGGCTTAGTGGAGTTCCTCGCGAAGCGAACGCATACTTTCTTTCGCGATCGGCGTTTGAACAAGGCAACGCGATACTGGCCCGGTTCGCTAACTCCAAATTGTTCACTCGATCATTTTGGTGACGACCCTCAGGCGATTGCCAGCCGACAGTTTGTGAAGTCGCACATGCCGGAGATTGATTTCAGCGAATTGGAGCCCGCCACCCCGGCTCAGTTGAAGCAGGCCAAAACGCGGTTACGGCGCATAAAGAATCCACTGGGGTTAATACTGCAATCGGCGCTGTGTTCCATTGATGTCCGCCACTTCGTGGCCGAGCACCGGGAAAACCTCTGGGCAATTCAGGAGAAACTTCGGTCTGCGGCCTGACCGAATTGCTTTCACGGCAGCTCTTCTTTCTCGCGATATCTTCGCCTTGCTAACACGTCCCTAACAATCGGGTACTAGACTGAGCCCTCGATTGAGTGCTGCTCGATTGGGCTGCCGGTGAGGTGTGGGGCTGTGAAACGGCCCACCCATTGGGGCGGACGGCGTGCCGCATCGTTGGGCACGAGACCCACCTGCTAGCTTGCTAGCGGTTTGCAGAGCGTGGGTCACAACTAGAAGCGGCATTTGAGGTTGCCGCTCTCGAACCAACATTCGCTACTCCAAAGGAACAGTTGTTGCATGTATCAGCCGTCAGAGAATTGGCGATCGGACGACAGCATCATGCTGGAAGGTCGTCCCACTAAACAGAAGGAAATAAGAAAGATGCGAAGAGGCTTCTTAATCGATATGGATGGGGTGATTTATCGCGGCAGCGAATTGATCCCCGGTGCATTGCAATTCATCGAGATGTTGTTGGAGCGTGATGTTCCCTTCACGTTCCTCACCAATAATAGCCAGCGAACCCATCGCGACGTGGTGACCAAGCTCGCGCGGATGGGAATGATTGTCGAAGAGCAGCACGTGTTTACTTGTGCGATGGCCACCGCGCGGTTTCTGGCCGAACAAAAGCCGGGCGGAACCGCGTACGCCATTGGTGAAGGGGGGCTGCTGCATGCCCTGCACATGAATGGTTACTCGATCGTCGATCACCAGCCCGACTATGTGGTGGTTGGCGAGGGGCGAACGCTCACGCTCGAATCGCTCGAGCTGGCCGTGCAGTTGATCCTCGACGGTGCGAAGCTGATTGCGACGAACCTCGACCCCAATTGCCCGACCAAGCACGGCACTCGACCCGGGTGTGGTGCCGCGGTGGCCTTCTTGGAAACGGCCACGGGGGCGAAGGCCTTCAGCGTGGGCAAACCCAGCCCCGTGATGATGCGGGCTGCGCGGAAGCAGCTCGAGCTGGCCACGTCTGAGACAATCATGATTGGCGACACGATGGACACCGACATCTTGGGTGGTGTGCAGATGGGCTATCGCACCGTGTTGGTCCTCTCCGGCGGCACGCGTCGCGAGGACCTGGCCAAGTACGCTTATCGCCCCGACGTGGTGGTCGACTCGATCGCCGACTTGTGCAAGCCGGGGTTCGGCCTGGAAAAGTTTCTTCCGATGACCGCCCGACGTGATGACACCCCACACGACCTGGCCGAATGGGTACGCACCCACAGCTAGTGCCTAACCCTGCGGCCATAAATCGAATCAGCTTCGCGACGCCCGGCAATCAGGCTTGGAATTCGTTCCAGGCCTGATTGCTTTGGTACGTACTCAATTCAATCTTCTGTGTTGGAGTAAGAAACAAACGGACGAGCGTTGCGGTACAGCTCGAGTCGCTGCTGAAATGCAGGCTTCTTGTTTTCCTGGCGAAGTTCTGCGATGGCAAGTTGCACGGTCTCCATCGCAAGCTCGAACTGGCCCGTCTCCGCATAGGCCGCGGCCAGCGTGTCGATGAAGGTGGGCTCTCGCCAGCGGCTTTCTTCGCAAGCCTTTTGTGCCAGTTCAACCGCCTTGGGACCATTTCGAAACTCTGAATCGGGACATGTGGCCAGGCACCAGGCCAGTGTATTTAGAAAGCGAGGCACTTCAGGACGAAGTTCTACGGCTTTGCGTCCATGTTCGAGCGAGTCCGCGTAATTCCCTTCGTTGAAGAGAAGTGCGGCCAGTTCGTGATGCGCCTCGGCGTTCCAAGGTTCTAGATTCAGTGCCCAGCGTAAATGCCAAATGGCTTCATCATTTTCTTCAGCGAGTGCCAACACTTTAGCGACGGTGCGATACCCCTTGGTGCTTTGGGCATTGCTGTGCAACGCGTGAACGACAAACGTTTGTTCGTTTCGAAACAATGAAACATCGTTGTGACCAATTATCGCCAACACGGCTATCCAGGCTGTCGCAGCAACAAAGCAGAGGAAACGTGGCAGCACAGACAGCCCGAATGTGAGAGCAAGTGCAGGTGCGAACATCCACATGTAAGCGTAACGATCGGCCAGCAAAGAAGGTTCGGCCGGATCGTACGGCATAAGAACGATCTTGGGAAACAGGCTGATCAAGGCGACGATCAAGATTGTACACAAGACTCGACGGTGTTTCAGACCGAAAGCAAGCGCAAACGCTACGGCCGGGAAAAACCACGTCCAATACAGTGTCCCTTTCTGAATTACATCGCCAGGAGTTCGACCGTAGTCGGGAGCACGGAGCAGGGGGTAGAGCAGATGGAAACATTGATACGCAAGCGTGTCGTAACTGAATAAGGGCCGCACCCAAAAAGGTGCCGTTTGATACGCGGGCTGATGCACCTTCAGTTGGGCCAGCAAGACAACCGCAGCCGTACAAAAGAACCATGGCCACAACAACCCGGCAACGCTTCGCCATGGTCGTCGAAAGAACCCTACGTCAATTGCCGCGAGCATGAACGGCACTTGGATCGCAATCGGGTCTGCAAGAATCGCGAGAAGATACAGTGCGGTAGCAACAACGAGCCACACCCTGGAAATGGTTTCCCGTGAATCGAAGTCGCGTGTACCCCCATTACCGTACGGACGAGGCTGTGTTGCCCTCAAGTACGCCAGCATCGCCGTGAAGCCGAAGAAGCCGGACACGGTGTATGAGGTTTGCGAAATCCACACGGCGGCCTCTACCTGAATTGGGTGCACTGCGAACAACAAGCTTCCAAAGAAGGCGGCCGCGCGTCGCTGAAAAATGTTACTCAGCAACGCAAATACAACCAGGGTGGTGGCAAGGTGAACGAGCAACTGTAGGGAATGAAATGTGCTCGGAGGTACCGACGCAGCCAGGGCTACTGGGTGGGCCGCAGTCTTGAAGAGTGTGACGGTGCCAAACAGCGTGGGCACCAGTGGCCTGTAGAAACCTTCCGACAGGTTGGTCCAAATGCGCACGAATCCCGGCCAATCGACGGGATTCAAATTCGGGTTATCAACAATTAACGGGTAATCGTCCCAGTAGAGAAACTCATTGCTGCGGGCTTGGCCGAACACCCACAGCGTGATGCCTGCGATTAGCAAATAGGGAAGACTACGAGAGAACCACGCTCGGATCGCCAGAAAGCGGTGATCGTTTTTGCGATGGTCCATCGTTGCCCCAGGGATTGACCGTTTGCGACCCCGGAGCGTGGAGCATCGAGGTATTCAACGATCGTGCGTATCTTTTAATGAGAGGGTTGGAGGATATGGATTCAGCCGCACGCTATTGTTCTGTTGTCTCCGCAAGTCGTCGCAAGGGCAACTCAATACAGACGGCCTTGCGGTCGTTGCGAGCAAACAGGCAATTACCCGCCACACTCGGCACATTCCAGGTTCGACGCTCGAAAAGCGTTAATCGCCCCAGCTCTTCGAGGTGCTCTGGGGTGAGGTCCAGCAAAACCAACTCTCCATTTTCGGCCAATACCAAAAACAAGTCGCCGATGAGGACCAGCTGAGCGTGCCCGAAGCGGCCGTCTTTCCAGCACGGTTTTCCTTCGGTGAGATCGACGCAAACAAGGATACCGGCGTCGTCCACCCCATACGCGTATCCATCCCGCACAATCGGTGTGGAGAATTTTGGCTTCAATGCAAGCGTTCGACCGTGAGACCAGGCCGGGTTGAGTTCAACGTGTGATGCAGGATCGCAAGTCACATCGAACAGCATGGTGCCGACGCCTTGTCCACTGGAAAGTAGAACCTGGTTGAGCCCGACCCGGACTGGCTGTGAAACGACATACACACCGACGCCCCAGAAGTGCTCCCATAACAGTTTGCCATCGTCCGGAGAATGTCCTGCCAGCGAGCGTTGATTCAAGACGACGATTTGTTCTTCGCCGCAAAGAGTCATAAGCGTTGGCGAACTATAGCTGGCGTCGTCATGTCCAGAGACCCATCCGCGTACCCCAGTCTGTCGATCGTAGGCTACCAGTGAGAACTGGCCTCGCGTTCCGGTAGACACAACGACGGTATCGCCGACCACCAACGGGGAACAGCTGATTCCATGAGCCAATGCTTCTGCTTCTGCCTGGTCGATCACATCGACTTGCCAGTTTCGTGTGCCGGTCTTTCCGTCGATGCAGACAAGTCTTCCATACGGGCTCATGACAAAGACTTGATCATCGGCGATGGTCGGGGTGCTGCGGGGTCCATTTCCCTCGTTAGCAAAAAAGCCGGGGCCAACTTCGATCGACCAAACGTGTTGCCCAGTGCCGGCGTCGTAGCAGACCACAAAGTTAAGGTCATGTCGTTGTTCTTGAGTGATGGCGAATTGGCCGATCACGGCGAAGGAGGAACAACCCTCTCCGATTGGGCGGCGCCACAGCAGTTGTGGGGGCTGCGTGCTCCAATCGCGGGCCAGAGAAATTGCGTTGCTTTTGCCCTGGCGATGGGGTCCCAGAAACTGTGGCCAGTCTTGGCTGGTTGCCTCGGGCAGATCGAGGCGGGGCGATTCTTCGGAGAGAAACACCTCTGAACTCAACATGCCCTGCGTACGAAATCCGACCGGCCAATTCCACGGCCCCAGCGGATAGAGATTGCCATCGTAGCCCACTGCGCGCCAATAAACGCCCGCCACAACAAAGAAGGCGATTGCCATCCCCACGCTTAATAGCCGAGCCCAAGTTGGCACAGAGGGAAAAGAAAGCGCCCATGCTCCGAAAGCGACAGCCCCGGTGCCGACGACGAAGGCAAAGGCGATCGTATGCCGTTGGGCTTCGTCGGTGGGAGAACACGCGACACCAATCGCGGCCAGCATGGTCAACAGTACGATGGCCGGGCCCGCATATTGCTTGGCACGCGGTGTTTGGCCGTTAGCGTAAATTGTCGAGGTGTACTCCGCTGGCATCTTCGCTCAACCCGTTGTTCCGGAAAAACGCCCTGGGCGAAACAATCGCACCGCGAACACTATAACACGGATGCGACGCACGAACGCTCGTCACCGCTGTAGAGGGGCACTCGAATGTGTGTAGCGCACTACGCAGGGTAAACGCTACCCGGCACCTGTTAATTGTTTGCGAAGGTTCTGACGCGAACTTCGGAGCCGAAATCGGGCGCACTCAGTCCTGGGATCTCTTCGGCTGGTTTTGCGACGACGATAACGTCGTAGTAGTACAACCGGCTGTCGTCGTGAGTGGTGAACTGCATGAGGCACAGTTCGCCGTCTATCCACTTGGCTAACGAAGCGCGTGAAGTGAAACCGTCGATTCTTCCTTGGAAGAAATCTCGCTTCAACTCCATTCTCGAATCGCTGCCCTGGGACTGGATTCCGCCGCAGATGCGCAGGGGCGTCATCAAATCTTCGGCAGGTGTGTAATAGTTCAAATCGAGAATCTGAAACGCGACTCTAGCTTCGGTTACCGGCTCTTCAACCCCGTAGTTCATGCTATAAGACGTAGAAGTGACTGCTTCAGCGTCTTCTTGAGTGACCCAAGGTATTCGTGGACTTATTGTGATGCCCTCGTTCGGATCGTGAGGCTCCGAAGAGCGGCGGACCTGCAGTCCTACGCAGAATCCATCTGGTAAATCGTGCGGTAAGACAACTTCGTAATACCACTGCTCGCCATCGGGAAGTAACCGTGTTGCCTCTGGCGGTATAATCCTTGCACCCGCGGTGTGTCGCATGTCGAGAATGGCATACGCCACTGAGCCTGTGACCAGCAACAGCAAGCAACCAATCAGAACATATCGCTTCATGGGCTGCTCCGTAGTTTGGCAGGAGCTGGGGTTAGTTCACGCGCTCCAAAGCCGGCGAGGGTTTGTTTTGCTCTTCCTGCTTCAGGCGGAACTCGATTTTGTAGTAGGCCTTTTCGGCTACGCTGCGGGTAATGCCACTTGGGTCGTTGGCTAGTTTCTTAAGGGCCCGCATTGAGTCTCTGCCCCCGATCTCGCCGAGGATTTCGGATGCGTCGCTGCGAATAAATTGGTCGGGGTGTTCAAGCAAAACGATCACGGCCGATTCGGCCACGGGGCCCATCTGAATCAGTGCCTTCTTGGATCCAATCCGATCATCTTCGAGCAACCCCACGATGGCGACTGCGGCCTGGGGGCTGTTGGTCGTTGCTAACACGTCACGGGCTTTGTTCCGAACGCCGAACGCGTCATCCTTCAAGAGCGATATCCAGAGGGGAATTTGCTCTTCGGTATTCCATACGCCCAACGCCTCGATCGCCTGCTTTTGCACAAACGTGTCGGGATGCTTCGCGAGAGCCGCCAACTTTTGGGCGACCTCTGAACGACGTTCCTCGACTGGTGGATGATCGCTAAACCACCTTAGCGCATGCTTGAGGCGGTTCCGATCGATTTCGTCGAGGAGCGTGATTGCTTCGTCAAGTTCCATCTCTCTCGGCAATTCCGGGGGAGGACCGGTGACAGGAGGTGTGCCAGAGGGTGAATTGTTTCCCGACGGAGAACCGCTGTTGCTGGCGAGGGGCGATCCGCCTTGTGCTTCCATCGGCACATATTCTTTCGGCGGCGGCATCTTGCTGGCGGAACGCATCGAGACAACCTTCGACGCTCGCGAGCGACCTTGAAACATGGAAGTTTCGATTTCGATCCAGCACTTCCAGCTCGTGGGAGACTTTTGTTCGCGTCCCATCAAAGGGAACTGCGAGAGAGAACCTTGCAACGTGCCTTGCCCCTGCTCGAAGAGATGCATCTCGCTACGCCCCAGGCTGTTTTCGATGACCCAAAAGTAGCGGTGACGTGGATCGAAGCCTTCTGCTTCGAAGGTATAGTCGACGCTGACGCCATATTCCGTACGCCGTGTGAACTGATCTTCGATCGGGACATAAACCGCGTTCGCCAATTTCACATGCAGGCCAGACTTGGGGGGTTGAGTGGCAGGCGAATCGGCGTTGCTTCTTTCCGAATCGCTTGGCGAATTTGGTACTGCGGTTCGCCTCGACGGCGCCTCCGGCTCGGCGACCATCAGCCCCGGGGGAGCAGTGAATTCGGGTGATTCGGCCTCAGCGATGGACAAGTCGCTCCCGGCCGACATGAGCCGGGTGACCATCCCGATGAAGAAGCAGAGCGTCCAAGCCAGCATTACGCCGCCCAACTGCCACTCGTTGGACTTCACCCAACCGACGATGTACGTGGTAAGGCCAGAGAAGAAAGTAAGAAGTACACCAAATCCCACGGCGACGATCATGGCGCCCATCTCTCCGACCTCGGGGGCCTGATTCGTTTCGTTCGCCTTCATGATGGCGGAGCCCAGGGTGCCGAAGATGATGAGGATTCCCAACAGCCAGCCGCCGCCGGAGAAAATGGCCAACCCATAGCGGCCGTGCTGACACATGCTCACAACGACCATGATGTAACAGCCCAGCATGACGAGTTGGGCAACGGCCGCAAACGCGCCGAGGAAGTTACCGCTCATCGCGCCCCAGCCTAAGATCCCAATGGCCAACAGGGCTGCGATCCCCAAGCCCACGGCTTTCAACGTGGCCATCGGGTCGTCGAAGGAAATGGAACTCTGCCGCTTCTTGAGCTTCTTCTTCGGAAGCTGAGGCGCCGGGACGTTGGTTGTGCTGGCCGCGGGTAGTTCGGCCAAGCTGAATCCGCTGGAGGCATCTTCGTCGGAGCCAAGGTTCTCAGGCAGTTCGTCCCACAGATTGTCGTTCGCCGGGCGCACCACGGCAGGAACCTGAGCGGCTGCTGCGGGTGCACGTTTAAGATTCGGGTCGGCAGGGATGGTGAGTTCCACACCACAACTCGGGCACTTCCCATCGCGGGCCTTCGCCTGCAGTTGTGCTTTGAACTTTTCGCCACAATCGCCACAAGCCAACGTAGCAACGGTTCCTTTGGCTGCAGGAGATGACTTCGTTCCGGAACCGCTCGAACCGCCGGAGGCAGAACGCACGGTTTCTGGTTTTGCCGCCGCCTCGGCCGAGGCCGGCACCCGAACGGTGGCCCCGCACGCCGGGCAACCACCTTTGCGGCCGGCGTACTTTTGTTTGGCTTTGAACTTGTGACCGCAGGACGTGCATGTGACGGGAATGGACACGTCGCGACTCCTATTGGATTTGCACCGCCCACCTGCCGGGCAGCATGACAGAGCTTCGTGGCACCAATAGGTACAAGATGCCCCACACCATAGGGTAATACGGAGGGCCCGGAGGTGCAAATTTCCGGGGATTGCGACCAAACGCCTGGGAGGACTGGGGGAGAAATGTGGATTCGGGCAGTGGCAGCGAGCAACCGGGGACCTTCAATCCCTCTGCATCACATTTCTAGTATTTGCGGCGTCTCGCCGAAGGAGAGAAGTAGGGACATCGAGATGAACATGGCCATGTAGGAGATCAGCAGGATCGCTATGATATTTGCCAAGTACAGGACCAAACCCCGTCGACCTCGGGTGTGGATGAGATAGAGGCCTGCGGCGATTGGCCAGGAAAAGAAGTAGATTTCTTGTGCGATGCGGAGAAAAGTCATCCCTCTCACTTTGGCATCAGCAATCGCCCATTGTGTGGTAAGCACAGACATCGCCACGCTGGAAATTAACGGGAGCAATGCATCTTCCGGAAGTACTGCAGAGGAAGCCCCCATGCAGCCGCTCATGATGTAGAGCTGAAATAAACAGTCGGTTCGCAAAGCTCGATAGGCCTGTAGCTTTTCTTCCAAGCACTGTTCGATGGCCGCCATGATGACATTGCTCGAGAGTGATTCGGCATTTCACCAATACGCAAAGATGTTCCAGTGTGAGGGAGATTATACACTCCGGGATGGAACATGCCTGGCTCAGCGTGAAAGCCGGTGCGCCCGACACTCGGGTGCGATGTCAATTCTCGGGTGACCGATCGCGAGACGGTGCCCTTCGGCGATCGCTGGATGAAGATGAAGACCGGCCAAACGAGCGGCCTTCGAAAAATGCCCGATCGTTATAGGGATTCTTTTCCAGGTACAGCAGTTCCAACTGATCGCGTACTTCCTCAGGAGAAAGGTCGGAGAACTTGCGGCGTAGCTCTCTGCGTTCCTCCTCGGGCAACTCTCGATAAAATCGCCGCATCTCCATGTGCGGAATCTCGCCGAGATGGACGTCGGCGTATTCCTTAATCCAATACGCCAGTTGGAATCGTTTCTTCTGTAACGATTGGCCTTCCAGTCGCTTTCGCGCTTCGTCGCTCAGCGATGCTTCCAACACCTTGAAATCTTCTTCATCAGCCAGTAGCCACGTGGGGCGGCGGTTGCGTTCCCGCTCGCGCATCAATTCGTCGGCCAATCGGAATTGACGAAGCTCTCCGTCGACCTGCGCGAGCCGCTGTTGCACATCGGGAGGAAGATGTTTCACCAACTGTTCTTCAATCCAGCGACCAATGGCCCTGCGATCGCTGGCCCGACGCGCTTCGGTTGCTTTGACCTCGCGGAGGTAGTTGATTCGATCTTCGGGCGATCGCGCGAGAAACGCGGCCCGATCGGCGGTCGACAGGCCGTCGAGCCAACTATGATATCCCCGCATCACGGCCATCAGTTCGTCACGGTCGGGCGCGGTGGCTAGGTCTTTCTGCAACGCTCGAAGTCGCTGCTGCTCGTCGCGGTCGAGTTCTTCGAAGCGTTCCAATTGCCGCCGCAGACGGTTCTTTTCGACGGTCGTCATCTGCTGAAGGTATTCTCGCCGCTGGTCGGCCGTGGCCAGCAATGCGTTGAAGGGCGGAGTCGCTTCGGACTCCTCGAGCGGCAATTCGTCGTTCTGTCCGAGCAGGAGAGAGCTGCTGCAAACGAGCACCGCCACGCTGAGCATGGCGGCCATCCACCAGTGAGCGGCGCCGCTAAGTGCGGGCGCTTGCGAGGATGAAGGCTTACCCTTCATGGGAGTCCTCCACCGGGAATAGCTCGGCCTCGCGAATCATCCGCAGGTACTCGATATCGCCAGCTCTGCGATAGGCATCGAGTTCATCGAGCAGCGGCAGTTCGTTGACAACTTGCTCGTTTTCGGCTCGTCCTCGATTGGACGAAACAAAAAACCCCAGGGCGAATGCCACCGCCACGCCCGCTGTGCCCACAAGCAGGCGACGAACCCGCGGGGTGAACCATCCGGCGTTTTGGCCTTGCTGCTCTTGCTCGGCCTTTTGGGCAATCATCTCCAGTGTGGTGTGCGCGAACTGCGGGCTCACGTCGATTGCGGGAAGCGTGTTTAAAGCGTCCCATGCCTGTTCGAGCTGGTGCAACCGCTGGCGAATGTCTTCGTCTTTGGCCAACCGTTCTTCGAGATCGCGAATCGACTCGGGGTCGAGTTCGCCATCGAGGTAGGCCACTAACTGTTCGTCGTAGGCCAAGTCGTCGGGATGGTTGGCAGGTTCGTTCATCGCGGTATCGGCATCGTGAGAAGCAAAGCGTTTCTGGCTTGTTGTCACTTCTCGGCTGTGTCGGGACTGCTCCCGTGATCCAGATAAGGTTCCAATACTTCTTTCAAGTTCAATCGCGCCCGGGTGAGCAGCGACTTGATTGCCATCGTTGATAGGTTCATCGTTTCGGCGATATCGGCGTAACTCATGCCTTCGAACTTATTGAGTAATACGGCCATCCGCTGGCGTTCGTTCAGTGATTGAATCGCCTCGCGAACCATGTGTCGCATTTCGGCGCTGTCCAATTGACGAGTGGGCATCAGTCCGCTGGCGGCGGCGGCAAGTTGCTCAAGGGGTTGGGGGCCCAAGGGTCCGCTACCGTCGGCGTCGAGTGTGACTTCTTTGCGTCGTGAGCGTGAGCGTTTGGCATTCGAGGCCACATTGTTGGCAATCGTAAATAGCCATGTGGAGAACTTGGCCCCCGGCTCGTAGCGTTCGCGAGCGCGATACACGCGGAGGAACACTTCCTGGGCCAAATCTTCGGCCGATTCGCGGCTGCCGACCAAGTGTTCGAGAATGCCGACGAGCCGGCTCTGATAGCGTTGCACCAGTTCTTCGAAGGCCGCGGCGTCGCCATCGCGCACCTGTAGCATCAACCGCACATCGGGGTCGCGAAGCTGATACCTGCGTGCCGACGACTCACTTACCGCCAATGCTTCTCCCTTGTGCCGAAGTTTGGGTTGGGGTTCGCCTTAAGCCAAACAGCTTCGCTCGGCACCGTAGCGAGCAAAACTCACGACCCCGCCCCAAAGTTTTTGCTCACCTCACCGTATCAAACCACGCCGGGCCTAAAAAGTTTCGCCCAATCGTGCCAGCAAGCCACTGTGCCCTGGTGAAAGACCACGCTCACCGCGGGTGAGCACGCCTCATTATAACCAAGTGCCCGGTCCACAGCGGAGAGAGAAAACGACTTCGAGGGGGCCGCAAGCTGTGTGGAAGGAACATCCGGTACCACCCACAAAGAGGAGCGGCGTTGGGTTTGCAGCCGGGCCTAAAACAGCTCGGCAATCGGCGAGCCGCCGGTGGCGACGCCCACCATGTCGGTCGGCAGCCCGCGGGCGACACGCAGAGTGCCCAAGTCGAACTGGGTATGCATGATGGTCGAGACGAGGTGTTCGATGGTGTAGGGCACCGAGCCGGGTTCGCTAGCGTCGCGGTTCGAACGACCGATGACCTGCCCCATCTTGAGCCCGCCGCCGGCGAGCAGCAGCGGGGCCAGGCTGCCCCAGTGATCGCGTCCGCCGCGTTCATTCAGCTTGGGGGTGCGACCCATTTCGCCGGAGGCCACCAGCAGGATGCGATCGCTGAGCCCCCGCTCTTCTACATCTTCAAGGAATGTGGCCACCGCGTGATCGAACGGCGGGGCCATGTACTGCATCCCCTCGCTCATGGTGGCGTTGTTCACGTCGGCGTGCATGTCCCACACGAAGTTGGTCGTCACGGTGACGAATCCACAGCCGGCCTCGCAAAGCCGTCGGGCCAGCAGCATCAGCTTGCCGAGCGTCTTGGCGTTGTCGACGTAGTTGTTGTAGTTGTTCCACTTCTTGTCGATTTGATCGGGACGCACCAGCGGGGCCGTGTCGTAACGAGCCACCACCGCGGGGTCTTCGTTGGAAAGATCGAGCGCGCCGGCCGCGCCGCCCAAGATGGTGCTGAAGGCTTGCTCGCGGAGTCGACCAATGCCTTCCCCGGCCCCGCCTATTTCGACGCTGCGCCGCACGTGGTCGAGTTGGGAGAGCAACTCGCGCCGATTGTCCAAGCGCGGGCGCGGCATGTGCAGTTGCATGTCTTGTTGCAACTCGGCATCGCCGCCGGGAGTGAATGGAGCGTAAGCCGCACCCAAGGAAGATGTCGACCGCAAGTCGCCGAAGTTCGAGTTGCCCGGTTGCGTGCTGTCGTCAACCGCGCGGGGGAACAACACTGCGTTGGTTGGCATGCCGGTCGTCGGGTCGTTCGCCCCCACCACACGACCGTAGAATGTGCCGAGGTTCGCGCCCAACGTTTGCCGGCAGACCACGGGCTTGATGTCGTGGCGGCCATCGCCGGTGGTGAACGAGCGGACCACTGCCAACTTATCGGCCATGGCGGCCAGCTTGGGGAAGGTCGATCCGAAGGTAACGCCGGGAATGCGGGTGGCGATTTCGCCGGTGACGCTGCGAACCCCATCGGGCGCGGTCATCTTGGGGTCGAACGTTTCGATCTGGCTCGGCCCGCCGTGCATGAAGACGTACACGACCGACTTGCCGGTGATGGGCGGAGCGGTCGACGCGGTCACCGTGCCACTGGGCAGCCCGGCGAGTGACATGCCACCGAGCGCGAGGGAGCCGAACCGCAGGAATTCGCGGCGGTTACCCCGTCGATCGGAATCCCAAAGCGTCAGCATGTGGTCGCTCCCGCGGCAGCCCGGTTACCTGGCAGAGCAAACTCCGCCCGATTGCAGCAACGACAAGATACCAACATCAGGGCAGGGAGGCCAATTTCCAGGCGTGGCTGGTGCGTGAGCATCTCACCCCGGGTGGCCCAGCCGCGCCGGCTGGGTCGGCACAGCCGACAAGATGCTTTAAGGGCGTCTTATGTTCCAGACTGGTGGGATCTCTGGAGATCTGTTTGAAGCACGAAACAGCAGGCTAAACCTCCGCCGTTTCGGCATGGAAGCCCATTCTCAGGACATCCTGTCGGCTTCGCCGACCCGGCCGGCGCGGCCGGGCCACCCGCGAGTCTTGCGCACGTAGAGACCGCGGCTGGGTTGCTTCAAGGGTTCGGCGAATACCGTTAAGAGGCCAACGTTTCGTGGGCGGCGCCGGCGAACTTGCGACCGCAGTCGTTGCATTGGTAACGCCACACGGCCGGCGATGCACCTTCGGCTGCAGCGGTGCCTTCACTCGCCTGGACGGCAGAAGCCGGATGTTGCGAGAGGACTGCTAACTTTCGCACGTATTTGGATTCACACCGAGGGCAAATCGGAGCAGACATGATCGAGACCACCTAGAGCAATGCTTAGACACCCTGGCACTTCCCTGGTTCCGTCGCCTCTATCTCTATCGTGCCCCGTGCCGCCCCGGAAAGCAAGTTTTTGGTGCTGGGAATCTGCCAGAGTTCAGCAAGCATGCAACGGCAACGCTCTAGCGGACCACCTGCCGGCACTTGGGGTAGTTCGGACAGCCCCAGAACCGTTTGCCTTGGTTTGCTCCTTTCGTCGCCACGCGGCGGACCATTGGGGTTTGACATTTGGGGCAATTTGGTGGTGCTGTGGTCCGCGTCTGAGGCCTAGCTATGGGAGGGGGCGATGGTTCATTCACCGGAGGCGTTGTGAGATGTGGGGCAAGTTCTGCGGCGATCTCCTTGGTGTTGTAGCTTGCTTGAACTGGAAAACGTACGAGTTCCAATCCGGCCAAGTCGAACACATCATCGACGAAGGCATCGCGAGCTTGGCGGTCGCTCCGGCGGTGACTCGCGTCGTCCAGTTCGATCCCTGCAAGAGGTTTCATCGTGCGCGGATCGCACAGGACGAAGTCGACATGCTTGCGATCGATCTTGTTGCGAAACCGTTGGTTCTCGTGGGGTTGGGTGACGAAGAACAGATCGTTCAAGTTTACCTTCGGGCAGATCACGGCCCGATCGCCTACGGTCGATAGGAGCACTCGATAGAACGAGAATTCAGCCTGCGATAGGAAATCGTCGCGAAGGCGATAAGGCAAGGCCGCTGAACCACCGGCGGAATCTGCTTCGTTCGATACTCCGAGAAGAAAACGAAGCAGTCGAAGTACGGCGAGAAGACAACCCGAGGGTTTATTGGCTTCAGAATTCATTGCTGCCCCAAACTCAGAGTGGTCGACTTCTATTCACGCTACGAGAGAACACGCTCGCAGAAGCCACTCAGCCCGTCAAACTGCCGGCTGCGGTAGGCAATATAACCGTCGGGGCGGATCAGGTACAAAGCTCCGTCTTCGGCGGCGTAACGCCTGAGCAACGCCTGTTGGCGATCTTCGATGTGCTTCACGTTCTCGGGCCACACCTGCGACGGTGCGTATGAGGTCACAACGAAGACGTCGATCCAATGACCGTGATTTTCTAGGGCTGCACTTGCAGCGGCGATGATTTCCTCGGGAACTTGTTCGGCACCCGCGGGAGCGAACAACACCAGCTTGTGTTGGGGGCTGCATGAGAGGTCGAAGAACGAACAGGTCTTTCCGGCGACGACCAAGGGCGTGGCGTCGGGGGCCCGGCATCCGCAGTGTGGTCCGCCAACGAAACCTTCCTCGGGTTCGAGACAAATCGGGCTCGAACTGTAATCGAGGTCGAGTTCTTCAGCGTGCTGGCGGGCTTTGGCCTTTTCACTCTCGGGAATGAACATGTGCGCGACAAGCTTTTGCCGTTCCGCGGGCGAGAGATCGACGAACGACTCGGCGTCTTCGGTCATCCCGCGGGTGAGCGCGATCACGTCTTCGGCCACACCGCGTCGTTCCTTTTCATAAGTAGCGAGCCAAGAGATGGGAGCGACACCGCGTATGACGAGTGCCAACTTCCAGGCCAGGTTATGGGCGTCTTGTATGCCCGTGTTCATGCCCTGGCCACCGATCAAACTATGCACGTGGGCCGCGTCGCCGGCGAGAAAGGTACGTCCGTGGCGGTAGTGGGGGGCCAGACGGTAATGAATGTGGAAGTGGGCCAGCCAGCGCGGATCGGAGAGTCGATACTCGCCGAAGCTGCGCTCGTTCACCAACTGTTGCATTTGTTCGAGCGTGGGGGTCTCGCAGGAGTCGCTGTGCTTGGGGCTGTTGGCCACGACGAACCGGCGGCCTTCGTCGAGCACGAAGAAGAACAGATCGCCATAGTCGCTGAGGAACACGTAAGCGTCGTCCGCATCCAGTGGTGCATCGACGATCACATCGGCCAGCATGTATGCGAACGGGTCGGCCTGCCCTGGAAAGACCTCTTCGGTAAGATGCCGCACGGTGCTGTGGGCCCCATCGCAGCCGATGAGCCACGGGGTGTCGATCACTTCTTCGCGCCCGTCGGTATGCAGCACCGTGGCGTGGACACTCACCGGCGATTGTTCCAAGGCCGTAAGTTGTGTGTTGCGTTCCACCTGTACGCCAAAGCGATTCAGGTGCCGCTCGAGAATGGCTTCGATCTTGGCTTGTGAAAGACCAACTCCGACGGGAAACGGTGAGTCGGCTTCGTCTTCACGCGAGCGGCCGGCATATTTACCGTTCGCAAAGTAGCGTATGCCCCGCATGGGCTGCGCGGTTTCCAGAAACTCATCGACGATGCCGAGACTGTGAAGGATCTCTTGCGTGCGGGAGTGGAGAAAGGTCGCCCTGGAGTGAGGATCGATGCCGGGCGACTTATCGATGATGCGAACCGGCACTCCGTGTCTGGCCAGTTCGGCGGCCATCATCAGGCCGGTTGTTCGGCCTCCCACCACCAGCACGGGTGTTTGTGCCGTTGTCATCCTGCTGTCCCGACATTCCGGCGAAACTTGCGAAGGGGTTTGCTACGCGCTCCGCCATGTTTACCCGATTGCCGGTCGGTTGGCCAGCAATCGGGTAACGCGGCGTACACATCGGTAGAGGCTAGACCTTACTTCGCTCGCGATTCAGAAACGAGCCGGCGATGGCGTTCACGTCTTCGCCCACGGCCAGAATCACGCCATCGGGACGAACGACAACAATGCCCTGGTCTTTCAGGCCGAAGGCCGTGGCGAGTTCTTCGATGTCGAGCGTCAGACCACCGTTACCCAGGTGACGCACGGCCAGCGGGAAGCCATGTTCGGCAGAGCCCAAGCGGTCGGGCAGTTGCGAAATGTCGACCGAACCAAACACCAGGCACACGGCTTCCGCATCGCGGAGCAAGTCGGTCGCGGGAATGGTGCCCTGGGAAGAATCAATCGCGATGTCGGGCATCGCGTCGCCGGGCTGCACGGCCGCACCACGAATGCCGGGGCCGCACAAGCTGCTGCCGCGGGTGTTCACCGAGCCTTCGGTGAGGAACTCGGCCACGTGTTCGCGAACCTTGGGGATCGCAAGCCCAAAGTGGAGGGCCATGTTTCGCAGGTGACGGGCGATGGGGTTCTTGATCGAAATCGCGTGCAGTGCCCGTCCTGTGGCGTCGACCACCTCTTTGCCAATGGGGTGACGTTCTTCCTGGTACGTCTCGATCAGCGAGGCATCGGCACCACCTTGCCAGGCTAGGGCCACCTTCCAGGCGAGGTTCGTCGCGTCTTGAATGCCGGTGTTCATGCCTTGCCCGCCGGCGGGGCTGTGCACGTGAGCTGCGTCGCCGGCCAGCAGCACGCGGCCGTGCACGTAGTTCTCGATCTGGCGTTCGTTCACATGGAACACGCCTCGCCAGTACGACTTCACGATCTTCCAGTTGCGGCTCGTACGGGTATCGAGTATGTCTTGAAGTTCTTCTTCGGTCGGGTCCTGCTGCGGGGTGTTCGGTTCCACATCGCCACCGTCGCCGATGATTCGCCATCGCGAAGTGCCCACGGGGAACAGGGCCACGGCACCATGCTTGGAGGCTTCCATGATCGCTTCGTGCGGATCGGTTTCCTGGTCCACTTCCACGTCGGCCAGAATCCAGCGGCGATTCACCGTTTCGCCGGGGAAGGGAAGTTGCAGGTGATGTCGCACGGTGGAATGAGCCCCATCGCAACCGATGAGCCACGAGGCGCGGAACTCTTCGGTGCCGCCGGGACCTTCAATCTGGCACGTCACACCGTCGGCATCTTGCTCGAAGGCGATGAGCTTGGTTTCGCGTTCGACTTGAACACCTTGGTCGGCGAGGGCTTCGATGAGTAGTCGTTCGGTATCAGCTTGCGGAATGAACACCCCCGGCGGAAGCGAGTGCGCCTCGTCTTGAAGTGAAATCGCATGCAGCAGCTTGCCGTCGGCGAAGAAGCGGGCTTGTCGTACTTCGTTCCCCGCGGCGAGGAATCGTTCGCGGGGGAGGGTGGCATCCAAAATCTGCAGCGTACGCCGCCACACGACCAGGGCCTTCGAAAGCGTGGTCGGGGCCTCGGCGATTTCGATGATCCGCACCGCAGCGCCGTGACGGGCGATACGATGAGCGGCCGTAAGACCAACCGGGCCGGCACCCACTACAAGAATCGGAGCTTGTCGCATTGGAAATTCCCCCATGAGGTTTGTATTGCGGCAAGTTCCGCATAATCGGAACGCCGGCGATCACCACATTCAATGACCGGTCGTAACGAATTTGTGTACTTGCCAGATACACAAATAGATACTGTCTAACGAAGTCTTTTCGGCCGTTACCAAGGGCAAACTTTTCCTGCCTTCGTTCGAACGCATCGCGCCCGACCTGTCAAATATCGGTTGCTTCGGTCGTCGCGAATGGATCGTTGCAGGGGTGGGAATGTACGGTCCCGGGCCCCCCACTGGACAATGGATGCAAAAGTGCAGATTTATGCGAAGTGCCGATTTATCGGGCGTTTTTCACAGAAATTGGATTTCTGCAGAACGATCGCCGGACCCCAGGCGTAGCAACAAAATACCCTCATCTCACTGAATCGACATCTGGGAGTTCTCTGCACGCAGAGATAGCAACATCGATGAGCCTCCTCGCACAGCTCAGGAAATGGTTCTCGCACGGAAGCTCCAAGAAATCGCGACACTCAAACCCCGCCTCCGGCTTGAATCTCGAGTCGCTCGAGCGGCGGGCGCTGTTAGCGGCCCAAGCCCTGCAAGACGCGCCCGACGTCGAGTATCAAGTAACGCAAGAGTGGAGTTCCGGGCAGACGGCCGAGTTGGTGCTCTGCAACGATGAAGCCCAGCCGTTCACCAACTGGCAGCTTGAGTTCGAACTGGACCAGCCGATCACTTCGGTGTGGAACGCACAAATCGAAGACCTCGGCGGCGGGCGGTACCGGATCACGCCACCCTCGTGGGATACCACACTCGATGTCGGCGAATCGCTCACGATCGGGCTCTCGATTGAGGGTTCTGGCAGCGAACCCACGAACCTGGCGTTCATCACGCCCGGATCCGAAGACTCCACCGCACTCGATGAGTTACTGCCCGACGACGAAGCACTGATCAACGAAGTTGCCACAGAGGCTCAGATCACCGATCCGGTGAGTGTAGAGTTCACGGCTCCCTCGCAGTGGTACAATGGATTCACGGGCAATATCACCATCACCAACAACGGCGATACGACCATCTCGGGTTGGGAGTTGGCCTTTGATGCCGAGTTCAACATCGAATCGGTATGGAGTGCCAAACAACTTTCGGCCAGCGATGGTTACTACGTGATCAAGAACGAAGCCTGGAATGGCACGATCGCCCCCGGCGGATCGGTCACGTTTGGCTTTACGGCCGCTGCGGCTGAACCGGTGAGCCCGATGAGCTTCGTCTTCAATGGTCAAACGGTTGGTGAACAAGATCCAGACCCCGATCCGGAAACGAATTCCGATCCCACCGCCGCATACGACTCGGTGACCACGCCGTTTGAGACCGCGGTCATTGTTTCGGTGTTGGCAAACGATAGCGATCCCGACGGCGATACACTTTCGATCCAAAGCTTCACCCAACCCACCAGCGGCACCGTGACCGACAACGGAGACGGCACGCTTACGTACAACCCCACGGTTGGATTCTCGGGCGGTGACAGCTTCAACTACACGGTGGCCGACGGCCGGGGCGGTACCGCCGTAGGGGTGGTGAACCTCACGGTTTCGCCGGCAGACCCTGACGTACCCGGCGAAGTGATCGAAGCCGTCGTCTGGCCCGACCGTTTCTTTGCGCCTTATGTCGATGCGACGAACTGGCCGCTGTTCGACGTGGTG